CGGGGCGCCCGCCTCCCCTCCTCTCCCTCCCCCCAGACCCTCCCCCGGCGCCTCCAGGGACCGGGACGAAGGGCTCGAGGGCCAGGCTGCAGGAGGAAGGGAGCCACGCGCGTCCGCCTGCGGGCATCTGGAGCTGACCTGCCGCACGTACCGGAGTGGATGGGACTGTTTTGCTGCTGTGCAGCACTGCCTTGTGACGCATCCAGAATGTGTGTCCGGGAGCAGAGTGTCTGTCCTCGCACGAGGGAGGAAGACAGCCTTTTCTACGATTAGCGATTACCATTATGTTGTTATTGTTGTTGTCACAATGATGACCGTTTTGCATTTTGAAATAAAAAAGCATTTTGCAGGACATCACATCGTCTCACCCTGGAGGCAGGCAGGCTAGTGACGCCCTGAGGCTTCGGGGCTTGCACGTGCTTCGCCAGGATCTCTGGTGCTGCTGTTACACGCTCCTAAATCTTCTGAAGAGGCCTTTTTCTTCGAGTTAGGGATGGGAGGCTGCAATTCGCACAAGTCCACCGGACTTAGCATCCTAAGATCATTAAGATCCATCAGGTTCTGATCTAGAATCAGAGAATGGAAGTGAGGGGTGAACTCCAGGGCCAAGAAAAGAGCTGTTTGCCGCTCCCACCTGCGTGCCGGAGGTCTGCTCCGTGGGTGATACCTCGCTTCTTAGCTTTTTCAGTGAGACAGGGAACAAAAGAGAGGGAAGACGAGAAAGAAAACCTAGCTCTAGCTCGGTAGGGTTAAGAGGAAAGCTCCCAAACGCCTAAGCAGGTAAGTCTGTCTCCCCTCAGCCTTCCTCCCCAGGAGCCCAAACTCTCTGATGTTCTAGACCAGAAAGGAAAAACAGCTGGTCCTTGCAGACCGGTGGTGATGCCTAACTTGGTAGCTCCGCAGGGCTCAGTGGGAGTCTGGGCTGGTGCCAGGCTGAAGCCACCCCCTCCCTCTCCCAGTGTCCCCCACCCCACACGAGGGACACTTTACTCCCCACGGTGGGTGCCACTACCTCTGACCTGACTCCCAACCGCCCCCAGACACCACCACAGCACTCCTGCCCTCCCTGGCCTCACCAGACGTCCACTCTCACGAAAATCTAACCTTTCCAGAAGGAAAGAGCAACAGGAATGTGGTGAGGGTAAGGAAAAAAATATATTCAGGATTTTAAAAGAAACTAATGTCATTGACACTACTGTTCTTCCCATTTCCAAAAGAGAACTTTGGGTCTAGATTAAGGCAGAGCCTGATCTTAAATGTCCAGAAGCCTTCCCAGAGACCCCCAGTCTCACCGTTGCACCGCCTTCTGGAAAGCCTCCACTCCCCACCCCACCTGCTGGCCCATCTCTCCATCTAATGTGTTTGCCCAAAAGAGCCCACGGCCAGACCGTGTTGCCTTGATGCCTTCCTGCTGTTCTCCACCCAAAGGCAGCAGGCATTAACCTCCCACCCCAGGCTTCCGTGCCGACGTCCTGGGCTGCCCACCAGGACCCTGGTGTCTCCCCATTGCCTCTGGTCCTCTGCACCTTTGCCCACCTTTGCTCTCTCCACTCCTAAATGTTCACCCTGCCCCGTACACACTGAGCTGCACCCCCGGCCCTTTTGGCCCTTTTTATTTTTTATTTTTGAGGCAGGATCTCATTAAGTTGCTAAGCTTCCAGGCTGGACTCCACATGCTTCGACCTCCCAGATGGCCAGTGTGCTCGGATCTTTTGTGTAAAAGGTGTAGCCTATGTTTGGTGTGTTTGCCTATGCATAAAACTTCAGATGCCTTCCTAGAGGAGACGGATAGATGATGGCAGGTCGGTCGGTAGGTAGGCAGGTATCTCCTTTAGAAGCTAATGCCCTTTGCTTTCCCTGCTCCAGGTTACGCAGCCCAGTCACGTCTGAGCTCCTGAAACGTCCTCTGTCCTCTGTGATGTCACCTCTCGGAGTTCCTACCGGTCACACAGTCTGGTTTCACAGTGAATCACTCGGAAGCAGACACCGGCCCCCAGTTGTTTTGCGGGGCTGGTAATGCCTCTTGTAGTAGTATAATCTTCCTGGTGTCAAAGTGTTCATAGAAACCATCAAGTTCCAGGCAAACAGGAGGTCCTTAATGCATATTTGATTGTTTAATCAGTAGATTTATTAAGTTAAAATAGAGCTGCACACAGGAAGGGACACCGCTCTGCCCCCCAGGGAAGTTTGGCGATGTCTGGAGACACGTCTGCTTGTCTGGTGGGAGGCAGCTCTACTGCTGTCATCCAGGGGCAGAATCCAGGCGCTGCGCTACATGACCCAGGACAGCCACCTACCACACAGAGTCCTCCTATCCATAACGTCAATAGGACCAAGCTTGAGAAACTGTCAGTTAGAGGAAAGGAAGGAAAGACAGTTTGCCTGACAGAATCCAGAAGGCTTTGCAGTAGTCCCACAAGACTCTGCCTGGGTGTGTGATCAGACATGAGCCCAACACTGAGACAAAAGCTGTCATTGGTCCTATTCTACCCGACAATTTTATCAGCCACCCAGGTGACAGGTATACTTATCAGTTCTCTTGGTGACATACAGCTGAAATAGCACAGACAAGATTCAAAATAACAAGCTGGAACCATACACCAACAAACTGACTGAAACCAAACATGGGAGAGAATACAGTGTAGAATTTAGGTCTTAAAAAATTAACTGCAGGGGCCAGGGACATAGCTCAGTGGCACTGCACCTGCCTTACAAGTGCAAGGTCCTGAGTTCAATCCCAGGTACAAATAATAATAATAATAATAACAACAACAACAACTACTACATGACCAAAGAATTAGAAAGGCTTATCTCAGCAGCAGATCAGGTGAAAAAGACCTTGGGGTTATCGATGATTTCAAGCTCGATAAAAGCCAACAAGGGATTGTAAGTGAGCTGCTAAAGCCCAATAATTATCTCCTTGGTACAAGTAGGGTACCCAGAAAACATG